GCCTCGTATGGACCAATAGCAGCTGCCTCGTATGGACCAATAGCAGCTGCCTCGTATGGACCAATAGCAGCTGCCTCGTATGGGCCAATAGCAGCTGCCTCGTATGGGCCAATAGCAGCTGCCTCCAATAGCAGCTGCCTCGTATGGACCAATAGCAGCTGCCTCGTATGGACCAATAGCAGCTGCCTCGTATGGACCAATAGCAGCTGCCTCGTATGGACCAATAGCAGCTGCCTCGTATGGACCAATAGCAGCTGCCTCGTATGGACCAATAGCAGCTGCCTCGTATGGACCAATAGCAGCAGCAGTATGGACCAATACAGCCCAACATGTACAATATTCTCCTCACATGTATATACTGACAAATGTTGGAAGGTGTCAAGCAAGCAATGTTGGAAGGTGTCAAGCAAGCACCGTGTTACAACATGACCCGAAGCTTGCAAGAACGCGGGAACGGCGTGCAGACATAGGTCACACGCCCCCCCCCCTCCTCAGGTCCTCGTTCAGTGGGTGTTACTTCCCTACCACTTGAGCTGGTCCCGTCCAATTCCAGCCATCAATTCTCACAACTGGCCCAATAGAATAATAATATTAATATAGCCAAGAGCAATAACGGACCAGGCAACAGGAACAACGGCATATATGGCAACAGGAAAGGGTTGCAGGAGTTTGCGAAGGTGACAACAGGGGATTTTGGCGGGAAAGTTTTAAACGGGAAATAATCGCTAACCATCGAACAACGCGGGAATTAACAAGGGCGTGGAAACGCAATAAAACGCGGGAACACCCAACAAAAAACGCGGGAACACCCCAACAAAAAACGCGGGAACAGCCCAACAAAAAACGCGGGAACACCCCAACAAAAAACGCGGGAACAGTCCAACAAAAAACGCGGGAACACCCAACAAAAAACGCGGGAACACCCAACAAAAAACGCGGGAACACCCCCAACAAAAAACGCGGGAACACCCAACAAAAAACGCGGGAACACCCAACAAAAAACGCGGGAACACCCCAACAAAAAACGCGGGAACAGCCCAACAAAAAACGCGGGAACAACCCAACAAAAAACGCGGGAACAACCCAACAAAAAACGCGGGAACACCCAACAAAAAACGCGGGAACACCCCAACAAAAAACGCGGGAACAGCCCAACAAAAAACGCGGGAACAACCCAACAAAAAACGCGGGAACAACCCAACAAAAAACGCGGGAACCCAACAAAAAACGCGGGAACAACCCAACAAAAAACGCGGGAACAACCCAACAAAAAACGCGGGAACAACCCAACAAAAAACGCGGGAACAACCCAACAAAAAACGCGGGAACACCCAACAAAAAACGCGGGAACACCCAACAAAAAACGCGGGAACACCCCAACAAAAAACGCGGGAACAACCCAACAAAAAACGCGGGAACCCAACAAAAAACGCGGGAACCCAACAAAAAACGCGGGAACAACAAAAAACCGGGAAACAAAAAACGCGGGAACCCAACAAAAAACGCGAGGACCCAACAAAAAACGCGAGAACCCAACAAAAAACGCGGGAACAGCCCAACAAAAAACGCGGGAACAACCCAACAAAAAACGCGGGAACAACCCAACAAAAAACGCGGGAACAACCCAACAAAAAACGCGGGAACAACCCAACAAAAAACGCGGGAACCCAACAAAAAACGCGGGAACCCAACAAAAAACGCGGGAACAACAAAAAACAACCCAACAAAAAACGCGGGAACAACCAACAACGGGAACCCAACAAAAAACGCGGGAACCCAACAAAAAAAACGCGGGAACAACCCAACAAAAAACGCGGGAACCCAACAAAAAAACGCGGGAACCCAACAAAAAACGCGGGAACACATAACAAAAAACGCGGGAACAACAAAAAAAACGCGGGAACAACCCAACAAAAAAAACGCGGGAACAGTCCAACAAAAAACGCGGGAACACCCCAAAAAACGCGGGAACCCAACAAAAAACGCGGGAACCCAACAAAAAACGCTGAGGACGAGGACCTAAACAATAATATGGCCGTGGTTAAGCCCAGAGAGAGGGAGAGTATTGTAAACAATTTTATGCTCTCACCCACTTAAGGAACAAAGAGAAGAACAAGGGAATAAGAATAATATAGACAGAGAACATGAAGAACAAGGAGATAAGAATAATATAGACAGAGAACATGAAGAACAAGGGAATAAGAATATAGAGAACACGAAGAACAAGGTAATAAGCATATATACAGAGAGCATAAAGAAGGAGATAATAATAAATCAAGGATAAGGTTGACAAGTGAGACGACCAGCAGGGTGTCTCAGACAATTCCCAGGTCTGAGCGTTAACAAGGTTGTCCTGTTATTATGTGGTTCTTGGAGGTTGTTGGTGGTGGGGGGCGGCACAGGGGGGCGCTGACCCCCCCTTACCCTGCCCCCGAGGTGGGTGGTGGTAGGGGGCGGCACAGGGGGGCGCTGACCCCCCCTTACCCTGCCCCCGAGGTGGTTGGTGGTGGGGGGCGGCACAGGGGGGCGCTGACCCCCCCTTACCCTGCCCCCGAGGTGGGTGGTGGTGGGGGGCGGCACAGGGGGGCGCTGACCCCCCCTTACCCTGCCCCCGAGGTGGGTGGTGGTGGGGGGCGGCACAGGGGGGCGCTGACCCCCCCTTACCCTGCCCCCGAGGTGGGTGGTGGTGGGGGGCGGCACAGGGGGGCGCTGACCCCCCCCTTACCCTGCCCCCGAGGTGGGTGGTGGTGGGGGGCGGCACAGGGGGGCGCTGACCCCCCCTTACCCTGCCCAGGAGGTGGGTGGTGGTGGGGGGCGGCACAGGGGGGCGCTGACCCCCCCCCTTACCCTGCCCCCGAGGTGGGGGTGGTGGCGCTGACCCCCCCTTACCCTGCCCCCGAGGTGGGTGGTGGTGGGGGGCGGCACAGGGGGGCGCTGACCCCCCTTACCCTGCCCCCGAGGTGGGTGGTGGTGGGGGGCGGCACAGGGGGGCGCTGACCCCCCTTACCCTGCCCCGAGGTGGGTGGTGGTGGGGGGCAGCACAGGGGGGGGCGCTGACCCCCCTTACCCTGCCCCCGAGGTGGGTGGTGGTGGGGGGCGGCACAGGGGGCGCTGACCCCCCTTACCCTGCCCCCGAGGTGGGTGGTGGTGGGAGGCGGCACAGGGGGGCGCTGACCCCCCCTTACCCTGCCCCCGAGGTGGGTGGTAGTGGGGGCGGCACAGGGGGGCGCTGACCCCCCTTACCCTGCCCCCGAGGGGGGGGGTGGTGGGGGGCGGCACAGGGGGGCGCTGACCCCCCCTTACCCTGCCCCCGAGGTGGTTGGTGGTGGGGGGCGGCACAGGGGGCGCTGACCCCCCCTTACCCTGCCCCCGAGGTGGGTGGTGGTGGGGGGCGGCACAGGGGGGCGCTGACCCCCCCCCTTACCCTGCCCCCCACTACCCCCCCCCCCCTTACCCAGCCCACCCCCCTTACCCTGCCCCCCCCTAACCCCGCCTCCTTTATACCATTCACCTCAAGTACCATCTCTTGAACGACCATTTGTTGGTTTGTTTAGTCACGCCTTCTGTGTCCTGTTGCTCACGTTGGCCCTCCTGTTGCTCCCGTTGGCCCTCCTGTTGCTCACGTTGGCCCTCCTGTTGCTCCCGTTGGCCCTCCTGTTGCTCCCGTTGGCCCTCCTGTTGCTCCCGTTGGCCCTCCTGTTGCTCCCGTTGGCCCTCCTGTTGCTCCCGTTGGCCCTCCTGTTGCTCACGTTGGCCCTCCTGTTGCTCACGTTGGCCCTCCTGTTGCTAAAGTTGGCCCTCCTGTTGCTAAAGTTGGCCCTCCTGTTGCTCCGTTGGTCCTCCTGTTGCTCCCGTTGGCCCTCCTGTTGCTCCCGTTGGCCCTCCTGTTGCTCCCGTTGACCCTCCTGTTGCTCCCGTTGGCCCTCCTGTTGCTCCCGTTGGCCCTCCTGTTGCTCCCGTTGACCCTCCTGTTGCTCCCGTTGGCCCTCCTGTTGCTCAAGTTGACCCTCCTGTTGCTCCCGTTGGCCCTCCTGTTGTTCACGTTGACCCCCCTGTTGCTCCCGTTGGCCCTCCTGTTGCTACCGTTGGCCCTCCTGTTGCTCCCGTTGGCCCTCCTGTTGCTCCCGTTGGCCCTCCTGTTGCTACCGTTGGCCCTCCTGTTGCTCCCGTTGGCCCTCCTGTTGCTCACGTTGGCCCTCCTGTTGCTCCCGTTGGCCCTCCTGTTGCTCCCGTTGGCCCTCCTGTTGCTCCCGTTGGCCCTCCTGTTGCTCACGTTGGCCCTCCTGTTGCTCCCGTTGGCCCTCCTGTTGCTCCCGTTGGCCCTCCTGTTGCTCCTGTTGCTCCCGTTGGCCCTCCTGTTGCTCACGTTGACCCTCCTGTTGCTCCCGTTGGCCCTCCTGTTGCTCCCGTTGGCCCTCCTGTTGCTGCCGTTGACCCTCCTGTTGCTCCCGTTGGCCCTCCTGTTGTTCACGTTGACCCTCCTGTTGCTCACGTTGGCCCTCCTGTTGCTCACGTTGGCCCTCCTGTTGCTCACGTTGGCCCTCCTGTTGCTCACGTTGGCCCTCCTGTTGCTACCGTTGGCCCTCCTGTTGCTCCCGTTGGCCCTCCTGTTGCTCCCGTTGGCCCTCCTGTTGCTCCCGTTGGCCCTCCTGTTGCTCCCGTTGGCACTCCTGTTGCTCCCGTTGGCCCTCCTGTTGCTCCTGTTGCTACCGTTGGCCCTCCTGTTGCTCACGTTGGCCCTCCTGTTGCTCCCGTTGACCCTCCTGTTGCTCCCGTTGACCCTCCTGTTGCTCCCGTTGGCCCTCCTGTTGCTCTTGTTGGCCCTCCTGTTGCTCTTGTTGGCCCTCCTGTTGCTCCTGTCTCCCGTCCTGTTGCTCCCGTTGGCCCTCCTGTTGCTCAAGTAGGCCCTCCTGTTGCTCCCGTTGGCCCTCCTGTTGCTCCCGTTGACCCTGCTGTTGCTGCCGTTGATCCTCCTGTTGCTGCCGTTGGCACTCCTTTTGCTACCGTTGGCCCTCCTGTTGCTCCCGTTGACCCTCCTGTTGTTCCCGTTGACCCTCCTGTTGCTCCCGTTGAACCTCCTGTTGCTTACGTTGACCCTCCTGTTGCTCCCGTTGACCCTCCTGTTGTTCCCGTTGACCCTCCTGTTGTTCCCGTTGACCCTCCTGTTGCTTACGTTGACCCTCCTGTTGCTCCCGTTGGCCCTCCTGTTGCTGCCGTTGGCCCTCCTGTTGCTCCCGTTGGCCCTCCTGTTGCTCCCGTTGGCCCTCCTGTTGCTCCCGTTGGCCCTCCTGTTGATCCCGTTGACCCTCCTGTTGATCCCGTTGACCCTCCTGTTGCTCCCGTTGGCCCTCCTGTTGCTGCCGTTGGCCCTCCTGTTGCTCCCGTTGGCCCTCCTGTTGCTGCCGTTGGCCCTCCTGTTGCTCCCGTTGGCCCTCCTGTTGCTGCCGTTGGCCCTCCTGTTGCTGCCGTTGGCCCTCCTGTTGCTCCGTTGGCCCTCCTGTTGTTCCCGTTGGCCCTCCTGTTGTTCTCGTTGACCCTCCTGTTGCTTACACTGACCCTCCTGTTGTTCCCGTTGACCCTCCTGTTGCTGCCGTTGGCCCTCCTGTTGCTGCCGTTGACCCTCCTGTTGCTCCCGTTGGCCCTCCTGTTGCTCCCGTTGGCCCTCCTGTTGCTCCCGTTGGCCCTCCTGTTGATCCCGTTGACCCTCCTGTTGATCCCGTTGACCCTCCTGTTGCTGCCGTTAGCCATCCTGTTGCTCCCGTTGGCCCTCCTGTTGCTGCCGTTGGCCCTCCTGTTGCTGCCGTTGGCCCTCCTGTTGCTGCCGTTGGCCCTCCTGTTGCTGCCGTTGGCCCTCCTGTTGCTGCCGTTGGCCCTCCTGTTGCTGCCGTTGGCCCTCCTGTTGCTGCCGTCACTGGCCCTCCTGTTGCTCTCACTGACCCTCCTGTTGCTCTCACTGACCCTCCTGTTGCTGCCGTTGACCCTCCTGTTGCTCCCGTTGACCCTCCTGTTGCTCCCGTTTGCCCTCCTGTTGTTCCCGTTGGCCCTCCTGTTGTTCCCGTTGACCCTCCTGTTGTTCCCGTTGGCCCTCCTGTTGCTCCCGTTGGCCCTCCTGTTGTTCCCGTTGGCCCTCCTGTTGCTCCCGTTGGCCCTCCTGTTGTTCCCGTTGGCCCTCCTGTTGTTCCCGTTGACCCTCCTGTTACTCCCGTTGACCCTCCTGTTGCTCCCGTTGACCCTCCTGTTGCTCCCGTTGGCCCTCCTGTTGCTCCCGGTGACCCTCCTGTTGCTCCCGTTCGCCCTCCTGTTGCTCCCGGTGACCCTCCTGTTGCTCCCGGTGACCCTCCTGTTGCTCCCGGTGACCCTCCTGTTGCTCCCGGTGACCCTCTTGTTGCTCCCGGTGACCCTCCTGTTGCTCCCGGTGACCCTCCTGTTGCTCCCGTTGGTCCTTCCCGTTCCTGTTGCGCCTCCCGTTCCTGTTGACTCCTCCCGTTCCTGTTGACCCCTGCCGTTCCTGTTGACCCGTTGCTGTTGCCCCTGGCTGTGGTAGGAGAGCGGGCCATGTAGAGCACAAGGCAGCGCACAATAGCCCAGTTGAACAGTGACCACCCCCACCTTAGCAGGAATGCCATGACCTGAGGCTTGCAAGGGTGAGCAAGGGTGAGCAAGGGTGAGCAAGGGTGTGCAAGGGTGTGCAAGGGTGAGTAAGAGTGTGCAAGGGTGAGTAAGAGTGTGCAAGGGTGAGCAAGGGTGTGCAAGGGTGTGGCAAGAGTGTGCAAGGGTGTGCAAGGGTGAGCAAGGGTGAGCAAGGGTGTGCAAGAGTGTGCAAGGGTGAGCAAGGGTGTGCAAGGGTGAGCAAGGGAGTGCAAGTGTGTGCAAGGGTGCGCAAGGGTGTGCAAGGGTGCGCAAGGGTGTGCAAGGGTGAGCAAGGGTGTGTAAGGGTGTGCAAGGGTGAGCAAGGGTGCGCAAGGGTGTGCAAGGGTGAGCAAGGGTGTGCAAGGGTGAGCAAGGGGTGTGCAAGGGTGTGCAAGAGTGTGCAAGGGGTGAGCAAGGGTGAGCAAGGTGAGCAAGGGTGTGCAAGGGTGAGCAAGGGTGAGCAAGAGTGTGCAAGGGTGAGCAAGGGTGTGCAAGGGTGAGCAAGGGTGTGCAAGGGTGAGCAAGGGTGTGCAAGGGTGAGCAAGGGTGTGCAAGGGTGAGCAAGGGTGAGCAAGGGTGAGCAAGGGTGAGCAAGGTGTGCAAGGGTGAGCAAGGGTGTGCAAGGGTGAGCAAGGGTGTGCAGGGTGAGCAAGGGTGTGCAAGGTGAGCAAGGGTGAGCAAGGGTGAGCAGGGTGAGCAAGGGTGTGCAAGGGTGAGCAAGGGTGAGCAAGGGTGAGCAAGGGTGAGCAAGGGTGAGCAAGGGTGTGCAAGGTGTGCAAGGGTGAGCAAGGGTGAGCAAGGGTGTGCAAGGGTGAGCAAGGGTGCGCAAGGGTGTGCAAGGGTGAGCAAGGGTGTGCAAGGGTGAGCAAGGGTGAGCAAGGGTGTGCAAGGTTGTGTAAGGGTGAGCAAGGGTGAGCAAGGGTGTGCAAGGGTGAGCAAGGGTGAGCAAGGGTGAGCAAGGGTGAGCAAGGGTGCAACAGCGAGGCGCTGAGCCAGAGTGCCGGAGCTACAGCAGCAGGTGACCAGCACAGGGAAGACCCATCACACTCAGAGGTGACCCACTCCACCACCTGGACCCGCATAGACAGGCACGAGCCACACGGAACACCTTCCCTCCCTCTCTCTCTCTCTCATCTCTCACCTGCTCTCTCTTACCTCACCCCTCCCTTCCTACCTTCCCTCATCTGCCCCTACACCCCCACCCCTAGTGACACCCCCCCCTGCCTTCCCCTCCCCTAGTGGCACCCCCCCTGCCTTCCCTTCCCCTAGTGGCACCCCCCTGCCTTTCCCTCCCCTAGTGGCACCGCCCCCCCCCTTGCCTTCCCCTCCCCTAGTGGCACCCCCCTGCCTTCCCCACCCCTAGTGGCACCCCCCCTGCCTTTCCCTCCCCTAGTGGCACCGCCCCCCCCTTGCCTTCCCCTCCCCTAGTGGCACCCCCCCCTGCCTTCCCCACCCCTAGTGGCACCCCCCCTGCCTTCCCCTCCCCTAGTGGCACCCCCCTGCCTTCCCCACCCCTAGTGGCATCCCCCCTGCCTTCCCCCACCCCTAGTGGCACCCCCCCTGCCTTCCCCTCCCCTAGTGGCACCCCCCCTGCCTTCCCCACCCCTAGTGGCCCCCCCTGCCTTCCCCACCCCTAGTGGCACCCCCCTGCCTTCCCCTCCCCTAGTGGCACCCCCCGCCTTCCCCTCCCCTAGTTGCACCCCCCCTGCCTTCCCCTCCCCTAGTGGCACCCCCCTGCCTTCCCTTCCCCTAGTGGCACCCCCCCTGCCTTTCCCTCCCCTAGTGGCACCGCCCCCCCCCTTGCCTTCCCCTCCCCTAGTGGCACCCCCCCTGCCTTCCCCACCCCTAGTGGCACCCCCCCTGCCTTCCCCACTCCTAGTGGCACCCCCCTGCCTTCCCCACCCCTAGTGGCACCCCCCCCCTGCCTTCCCCACCCCTAGTGACACCCCCCCTGCCTTCCCCACCCCTAGTGGCACCCCCCCTGCCTTCCCCTCCCCTAGTGGCACCCCCCTGCCTTCCCCACACCTAGTGGCACCCCCCTGCCTTCCCCCCACCCCTAGTGGCACCCCCTGCCTTCCCCACCCCTAGTGGCACCCCCCCTGCCTTCCCCACCCCTAGTGGAACCCCCCCTGCCTTCCCCTCCCCTAGTGGCACACCCCCCTGCCTTCCCCACACCTAGTGGCAAACCCCCTGCCTTCCCCCACCCCTAGTGGCACCCCCTGCCTTCCCCACCCCTAGTGGCACCCCCCCTGCCTTCCCCACCCCTAGTGGAACCCCCCTGCCTTCCCCTCCCCTAGTGGCACCCCCCCTGCCTTCCCCACACCTAGTGGCACCCCCCTGCCTTCCCCACCCTAGTGGCACCCCCTGCCTTCCCCACCCCTAGTGGCACCCCCCTGCCTTCCCCACCCCTAGTGGCACCCCCCCTGCCTTCCCCTCCCCTAGTGGCACCCCCCCTGCCTTCCTCTCCCCTAGTGGCACCCCCCCTGCCTTCCCCACCCCAAGTGGCACCCCCCCCTGCCTTCCCCACCCCTAGTGGCACCCCCCCCTTGCCTTCCCCACCCCTAGTGGCACCCATCCCTGCCTTCCCACCCCTAGTGGCACCCCCCCTGCCTTCCCCACCCCTAGTGGCACCCCCTGCCTTCCCCTCCCCTAGTGGCACCCCCCTGCCTCCCCACCCCTAGTGGCACCCCCTGCCTTCCCCACCCCTAGTGGCACCCCCCCCTGCCTTCCCCCTCCCCTAGTGGCACCCCCCCTGCCTTCCCTCCCTTAGTGGCACCCCCCTGCCTTCCCCACCCCTAGTGGCACCCCCCCTGCCTTCCCCACCCCTAGTGCCACCCCCCCCTGCCTTCCCCACCCCTAGTGGCACCCATCCCTGCCTTCCCCACCCCTAGTGGCACCCCCCCCCCCCTGCCTTCCCCTCCCCTAGTGGCACCCCCCCTGCCTTCCCCTCCCTTAGTGGCACCCCCCTGCCTTCCCCACCCCTAGTGGCCCCCCCCCTGCCTTCCCCACCCCTAGTGGCACCCCCCTGCCTTCCCCACCCCTAGTGGCACCCCCCTGCCTTCCCCACCCCTAGTGGCACCCCCCTGCCTTCCCCACCCCTAGTGGCACCCCCCCCCCTGCCTTCCCCTCCCCTAGTGGCACCCCCCCTGCCTTCCCCTCCCTTAGTGGCACCCCCTGCCTTCCCCACCCCTAGTGGCACCCCCCCCTGCCTTCCCCACCCCTAGTGGCACCCCCCCTGCCTTCCCCACCCCTAGTGGCACCCATCCCTGCCTTCCCCACCCCTAGTGGCACCCCCCCTGCCTTCCCCACCCCTAGTGGCCCCCCCCTGCCTTCCCCACCCCTAGTGGCACCCCCCTGCCTTCCCCACCCCTAGTGGCACCCCCCTGCCTTCCCCACCCCTAGTGGCCCCCATCCCTGCCTTCCCCACCCCTAGTGGCACCCCCCCTGCCTTCCCCTCCCTAGTGGCACCCCCCCTGCCTTCCCCACCCCTAGTGGCACCCCCCTGCCTTCCCCACCCTAGTGGCACCCCCCCCTGCCTTCCCCTCCCCTAGTGGCACCCCCCCTTGCCTTCCCCTCCCCTAGTGGCACCCCCCCCTGCCTTCCCTTCCCCTAGTGGCACCCCCCCTGCCTTCCCCTCCCCTAGTGGCACCCCCCCTTGCCTTCCCCTCCCCTAGTGGCACCCCCCCTGCCTTCCCTTCCCCTAGTGGCACCCCCCCTTGCCTTCCCCTCCCCTAGTGGCACCCCCCCTGCCTTCCCTTCCCCTAGTGGCACCCCCCCTTGCCTTCCCCTCCCCTTGTGGCACCCCCCCCCCTGCCTTCCCTTCCCCTAGTGGCACCCCCCCTTGCCTTCCCCACCCCTAGTAATGTGGTGGAGGCTGACTCCATACACAGTTTACAATGTAGATATGATAGAGCCCAGTAGGCTCAGGAATCTGTACACCAGTTGATTGACGGTTGAGAGGCGGAACCAAAGAGCCAGAGCTCAACCCCCGCAAGCACTACTAGGTGAGTACACACGCCAGTTGATTGACAGTTGAGAGGCGGAACCAAAGAGCCAGAGCTCAACCCCCGCAAGCACTACTAGGTGAGTACACAAGTAACTGATGGAGGAACAGGTCAGGCTTCACTACAATAAAGCAAGATTTGTTAATTTAAAAGTATTGAATACCATGAACCTACGTGAGACGAATAAGAGAGCATGCAGCACCAGCCTGGAGCCCAAATGACGAATTTCAAGAGCGCAATCAACAACAGAGGTTTCCCAGGCTTAATTGTTCCAGAAGTGGAGGAGACATGAGCCCTACATAGGAGATACTTGGTGACAAAGACAGAGGTGAGAGGTGACCTAGCACAAGGAGAGGAGAGCAGGAAGAGTACACACAGGTGAGACACCCCACACAAGAGTGTAGCCCTACCCCCCCCCCGCCCAATACATGCGGGTACAGGTGGTACACCAGGTCGTGTGGTAGCAGCTGAACACTCTCTGTGTTCCCACCACGTGCTGAAGGTGAGGGGGGGGGGGGGGGGGGGTGTTGATACCCCCCCTCAGGTCACCTGACCCCCCTCCCCCGTCAGCAGCAGGGGGGGGGGAGGGGGGGGGGTGTTGACTAATACCACCCCTTCAGGTCACCTGACCCCCACCTTCCCCGTCAGCAGCAATGGGGGAAGGGGGGGGTGTTGACTAATACCACCCCTTCAGGTCACCTGACCCCCCCTCCCCCGTCAGCAGCAGGGGGGGGAGGGGGGGGTGTTGACTAATACCACCCCTTCAGGTCACCTGACCCCCCTCCCCCGTCAGCAGCAGGGGGGGAGGGGGGTGTTGACTAATACCCCCCCTCAGGTCACCTGACCCCCCCTCCCCCGTCCGTCAGCAGCAGGGGGGAGGGGGGTGTTGACTAATACCCCCCCCCCTCAGGTCACCTGACCCCCCCCTCCCCCGTCAGCAGCAAGGGGGGAGGGGGGGGGGGTGTTGACTAATACCACCCCTTCAGGTCACCTGACCCCCCCTCCCCCGTCAGCAGCAGGGGGGGGACAAAGATGGCAGACAGCAGCAGCTAGACATTACAACTTTCTGCAACCCCACCAAGTGCAAGGATCACCCCCCCCTCACTAATCACCCCTCATCGAGCCCAATCGTTCCCGCCTCACCACAATCCTACAAACATATCGACACGCTATGGTGGCGGGCAAGACACGTGCTGGCGCATACACGCGCGTGGGAGCGCATGAGAGCACATACGAGAGCATACAGGCAGCTGGTATACTGGCCGCCGTGACCAGGCTTGTATTACCTGGCCAGAATTCTCACTGGAAACATGGAGAGTAAACTTTGGCTTCACCAAAGACCTGGGTAAATACTGGTTTATGATCACCAAACTCTTGGGTAAATACTGGTTTAATTATCAGTTAAAACCTGGGTAAATATTGGTTTAATAATCAGTTAAAACCTGGGTAAATATTGGTTTAATAATCAGTTAAGACCTGGGTAAATACTGGTTTAATTATCAGTTAAGACCTGGGTAAATACTGGTTTAATTATCAGTTAAGACCTGGGTAAATATTGGTTTATTAATCAGTTATGACCTGGGTAAATACTGGTTCAGAAAGAAAGAGGGCTGTTGATTTGCGATCACCAACAATGGCCTGGTAACATAACAGGGGGGGGGGATCCCTGGATTGTTTCAAGCTAAGGTTAGACACGAATATGAGTGAGGCTGGGGGGGGGGGGATCTTAAATAGGGACAGCGTTTGGGATTCGTAGTCCTGATGTTCCGGGTTCGATCCCGGGTGAAGGCGGAGACAATTTGGCAGTTTCTTTCACCCTGATGCCCCTGTTCACCGAGCAGTACATAGGTACCTGGGAGTTAGACAGCTGCTACGGGCTGCTTCCTGGGGGTGGAGGACTGGTCGAGGACCGGGCCGCGGGGACACTAAGCCCCGAAATCACCTGCAGGTAACCGTGAGGGCCTGTAGGAGGCCGTGTTGGTGTGATCAAGCAGGCTGTTAGAGGCGGCAGTGTGACCAGGTATAACACAATGAGGGGACACTAAACAGCCCATAAATCATCTCAAGATAACCTTAAGAAGAAGAAGATATACGGAGACAACCGTAGAGCAACACCACACACCAGAGACAGGGGCCTCGTAGCCTGGTGGATAGCGCGCAGGACTCGTAATTCTGTGCCG